GTGACAGCAAAATGGATGAGCTCAATATCCATGAAAAGTGGACTCCAGAACTTTATGAAGACATTGAGGGCGATGGAGAAACATATGAAAATGCCGCCCCCACGGAATCCACAGTTCCAATTGGTCTCCATTACCTTGGTGAGAATGAGAGTCAGAACGAATCAGCGGAGAAGGAGAACTCAATTCTGCTTCCCATGTCTGTTACTCCAGTTCGCTCCCGCGTCTATCCTCGCATGACCCATACAGTCTCAAAGGTGCCTCTTCGACCCGATGGCGATGGGTTTGTGCTAAAGGTCCCTCGCAAAAGGAGTCGGTCCCTTTCTTCGCCTAGAAAGACTTCTAACGCGCACCTGGGCACGGGCAGAAGCCTACCCACGATTTCCCCACGGAAAAGGGAGGCACCTATGAAGCCTTTCTCTGATGACATTGTTGAATGTGAACCCGAGCCTGAGCTCCCGGACAAAACACCAACCAAGTACAGCACAACGACATGGCCTCAAGCCGCTGTGAATCACCCAAAGAAGTCTCCTAGCAAACCCAAGTCTAACAAAGAGCGAGTTTTGCGAGGGGCCGTGGTGTTTGCGGACGTTCACACTGCTGAAGGTGCTGATGCCAGCGGCATTTTCGTGGAGCTTCTAACACAAATGGGGGCCAGATGTGTGAAGTCATGGTCATGGAATCCCCGAGCAAGCCTCTCTCCTGTGGAGGGTGTCGATCCAAAAGAGGGGAAGGTTGGTATCACACATGTAGTCTTCAAAGACGGCGGGGTGAGAACATTGGAAAAGGTTAGAGAAGCCAATGGCCTCGTAAAATGTGTCGGCGTCAGCTGGGTCCTTGAGTATGTCAACTTCTCCTTTATATCTCTCTCTATTAAAAGTGGTCAAGACTAACAACGATTTCCAAAAGCTGTGAACGTAAAAGTAAATGGCTCGACGAATCCAACTACGGTGTGGATGTCAGTCTAGTTCCTAGAGGCGGCCAAAAGCGCAGAAAAAGCATGGAGCCCAGAGTTCTGAGCAACATGAATGGGAGCATCATCAAACTTGATTCATCCACATCCTCCAACAGTGGAAGATGCAGTGTCACCGATCGCGAAACATTCCAGGAATTGATGGGTTTCTCTCCCACAGCAGAATCATCCAGGCGCGACTCAATGGAGTGGGGCAGGGTACCATCCACCCCACAGCCGGAAAAACGGAACCATTTGTCAAACCCTACAAACCTTCCATGGCCTACGGGCTGCTCACCAAATCCAATGGCCGAATCACCCACTACTCCCGAATTCAACTATGCTTTTGACTTTGATGGCGCTTCCGCTCTTTCCCCTATAACCCCGTTCCATCCATCGCAGGGAACCAAGTTAACCCAGCAGACATGCCCGCCGAAGCAATTGAGACAGGGCCTCTTTGATGACAAGGGCCGCGACGATGATCAGATGAGTGAAGGGTTGAAACTCAGATTGGAGGCGGCCAGGAGGAAGAGCTTGGTATGGAAGCCAAAGGTTGGTAGTCCACTTGGACGTGCAAGGGCGAATTTCTAGGTTCTTTTAGACCCTTCCTTTTTTTTTTTTTTTTTTTTTGGGTTGGGTTGGGTTGGGGGGTGGTTTGTTTTTGGCAAACATAACTTCCTATTTCTTAAGCAGGGTGGAATCTGGTCACGGATCTTGGGTTTATTGTTGGGAGGATTATTGGATTCTGTTCTTGGTCTTCTGTATCACCGCATGTCCTTTGGTTTTAATCTGCGGTGCATTATTTGCATCTTATTCTTCCCAGTCCCCTTCTTAACCGATGAAGAGTATAGTATTTCTGATTTTGGATAGTTGGGAGATGGATTTGAGTGCTTTGGTAACATGTAATATTCGGTAAATGGTATGTGATTCTAGGCTTCAAAAATTCAAACTCAGTCTAAATTGTAGGTAGTTGGCTTGAATGAATGCATGATACACAATTTAAAATGACCATATTGTCCAAAAAAAATCATGTGAACTTTTCCATCTCCATGATAAAAAGTACAAAACTTTTCTCCTATTCCTTCTATATTGCGCGCTCAGTCTAACCCAATTGCAACAGCAGCGTCACATCGGGTTCAAGTCACCGTCCTCCGCCATCCGGTCCCGGTAAAATCCTGCAACCAAGAACGCTAACTCCAGCGATTGCTTCTCGTTCAGTCTCGGGTCACAGAAGGTGGTATACCGTTCGCCCAAACCATCTTCCGTCAACCCCGCCCCGCCGCCAACACACTCCGTCACCGGCTCACCGGTCAATTCCAAATGCATACCGCCCAAAAATGAGCCTTGCGCGCGATGAATCTCCAACGCCTGCCGCAGCTCAGACAATATATCTTTAAAATGACGAGTTTTGAGACCTGAGGGTGTGGTTAGTGTGTTGCCATGCATAGGATCGCATTGCCAGACCGGCAGATGGCCAGAGGATTGCACCGCTTTAATATGGGCGGGCAAATAAGAGGCGATTTTCGAAGCGCCGTAGCGTGATATCAAGGTGACTTTGCCGATTTCTTTGTTTGGGTTTACTATGTTAAGTAGTTCGACGAGTTCATCCGGCTCTATTGTTGGACTGATTTTAATGCCGATGGGGTTGGAAAGGCCACGGAAGAATTCCACGTGGGCACCAGTGAGTTGGCGGGTGCGGTCACCTATCCAGAGGAAATGAGCAGAGGTGGCATAGTGGCCGCTTGATGGCTGGGTGGTGGAGGAAGCATTTCCTGCCGTTGCATGGTATGATTTAGGCGCTGAATCCTGGGGTACGCAGAAGAGTCTGGTGAGGCTTTGTTCGTATTCTAGCATCAGGCCTTCGTGACTGGTATAGATGTCCACAGTTTCGATTCCCCGGGCTGTGTCGAGACCCACAGTTTTCATGAAGCGCAGTGAGTCTGTCACTCTGGAAACGATTCGTTCATACTTTTCTTTTATTGACGGGGTGATGACGTGACCAAGTCCCCAGTCTAACGGGGAGTGGAGGTCAGCCAAACCGGATGAAAGCGCTGCTCTGATATAATTCAAAGTTGCAGCAGAATGAAAGTATGCAGATACTAGGCGGGAGGGATCCGGAGTTCTGGACGCGGGGTCTGCCTCAAAGCCATTGATGTTATCGCCACGGAAGGATGGCATCGTCACGCCATCGATGGTTTCAGTGGTGCTTGAACGAGGTCTTTTCATACGTTAAAACCAGGTGAACAGAATGAACGCTGGCAGGGAGACTCACTTGGCAAACTGGCCAGCGATACGAGCGATTCTCACCACTGGCTTATTGGCTCCTATTGGACAAGTTAGCCAGACTCTACAGTTGATGTTCCAGTGATGACGAATATATACCCCAGATTAAGACTAAGCTCATTTGTAGAATCAATTTGATCTTTGCCTCGATCATCTCTTGGTTGCAGTAATCAAACAGCTCAGCACAGTCACCTTTCAAGATTCAATGTCAGTACGCATTTTACCCAACATCTCATTTGCACTGCAAAAATGTACATTTAGAAAACGGATTACTTACCCCCCTGAAGCACAAAAGCTTTACCAAGGGCAACATTTCTCAAACAATTTTTCAAGTTAACAATCTGATCCTTCTACGTTAGTTTATATGTCTCAGAATAGGGTTGCTCTCCTTCCCTGGGGCGTTTTCAATTTTTTTTTTTTTTTTTTTTTTTTTTTCAATTTTCCCTTGTCTTCGATTCATACCTCCTGGGGGGTCACCAATGGAGGTAACTGTTGAAGTTTGACCAAGGCATTTTTTAAACCTTCCTTATCATCATACACCACCTCTTGTTTGATGGGCTTTGTGGTCCAAGCTAGATCAAATATCAGCCACGGATGGATCAGCCATTGGGGTCGCTAGAAGGGACACCTACACAATGGAGTCCAATCATTATTCGACTGCTGTTCTGGGCCGGAACACGGCATCTCGACACAAACACTTTCAGGTACGCGGGGTGGCAAATGTAGACTTACGAAGAGTCTACGGTTGCTCTGAACAGCCCGGACCGGGAAGTAGCCACTGCAGCGAGCTGAAGATCTCGATAGAATCCTCTTGAGCCTTGGGACATATATATATTCGCCAAAAAAAAAAAAAGAAAAGAAAAAAAAAACAAGACAAATTATCCAGATTTACAGCGAGAGAAGTGTTGTATTATGAGAGGTTGGGGTGGATGAACGTTCGTTGTTGTGTGGTGTGTTAAGCGTCACCTACGGATCGCCTGCAAGCAGTGAGGCTCACACACACACACACACACACACACACACGGTCGAAGGTTCGAATCCCACCTTCACCAAGAGAGTATTTTATCACGGGAGGAGAGTGGCTGGTGAAATAGAAGTGGTTGAAACTTCCCCCTCATCAAGGAGTATATAGGGCTATCATAGTCTCTGGCAGCATATGGCCAATAATAATATTAATAGTAGTAATGTAACAAGTTAACGATGTTTTTGCAGGGAAGTGATTTAAATAAGACCACACAAACCCAAGCCAAGACACACCCCTCCTCGACTCACTTCTTCAGAATCATCTAGCGGGACGGCTGCCTCGCTACTTTGCATTTGTAACGACGAGAGCCATAACTAGTTAAGTTCACTACTGGTTTTTTGAATATCAAGCGTCACTACAGTCTTGAACAGACCCATGTTCCTTTTTGCGGTAACTTGACGTATTGTCTGGTACTTGTTCAATTCACAGCTCCAGGCTGTTGGGCTTAACTGTGGCTTGCGCCTGAAGTGCGTGCACATTGCCCAGTCAAACGCTAATCAATTCTTCCTCCTCCTCTACCAAAAACTCATTGCCACACAGAAGCTCCCCGTCCAACCAAGATCTTAAAAGGTAAAAATATGAAGATGAATTATGAAAAGAGCCACTGAAAGTGCACGAAACACGGAAATAAAAAATAATGATTATTATTATTATTATTATTATTATTATTAAATAATAAATAAATAAATAAATTATATACTTGTTTCAGCAGCGTCGGTCTTCAATGAAGCATTCGTAATGAAAATGGAATATCCGGTTGCTGTTAGAGTTAGATATGAGCTGCACACAGTTTTTGCCCTGTCCCTCATGGCAATGTTGTGAGCAAGCTTTACAATGTTCTTTTACCTGGTTTTAGCCGATGCGTTCAGTATTACACCTATTCTTACTAATGCTGCAGGGACTGACCGCGACCGTTTCGTCTGATTTGAAGAAATTTGAAGTTTCTGTTCCTCGACATCCGCATTTGCTTCACTTGAGGAAACGATTGAAGATCCCAAGGCGGACAGAAAGAGTCCAAGCCGTTGTACTGAAGCTTCAGGTGAATTCGATCAAGTATACAGCGAATCTAAAGTCGTGGGGAAAGAATACTCCCTTGATAGTACTCAAGCCTGCGAAGGAATGTAGCCACTGTCCCGCCGTTGCAAGGAACCTGTGGCTTCATCTAACTGCCTTCCGGTCGCTAGCAATACGAAAGACACCAGTGAGCTGGGACCTCCAGCTCGCCAGCTTGTGTGCTTAAATCTCCTCCAGATGAAATCTGCAAGCAGCTCAGATGTCCGCAGATACATGTGTAGTTACCTACCTACGCAATATTCGTCATAAACGCACACGGTACGCGGAATCACGTGCAGGCCGCCGCACAGACTGTGGGACGTCTGAAGTGGTTGTTGTATTTGGTAGCCTATCTCAGCGATGCATGCTCTATACTACTGTGCGGTGTGCTAGTCCATAATAGGAAGCCTAGGCTCCAACACAGACAGCGTTCGCTTATGCGTTCGCGTAAGCCCTAAGTTAACAGTTTCAATTATGTAACGTTGGCCCAAGGCTCCTCCCGGGATCCTGTCTCTTTCTTCACGTGATTGAAAGATCTTGAAAGGACTCTGTTCTCAGTATGAGAATGATCGGCTGGCTTTCCGATTGTACCAAGAGGGGGGAATAATTTGATAATTGATAATTAAAACTTATGTAATTCGGGTATTTATAAAAGAGTGGGAGTTCTTCAAAGAATTGCGCATCGAAAAATTGCCCAGCGAGCCAACGAATGGCCAGCTTAGGTTCTGCCAATCTTTCCGCGCGCTAATTTGAACTTAAAGTAGTCTCCCGCACTTAAGAAGGCGCTTGATCCTACCTTGGACTTCCATGTTCTTCTCGCATCTGAACGATATGCATCACAAAACCCCAAAAGTACTTTTTAGTAAACCAAAAAATAAAATGATAAAATAAAATAAAAATCACCGGTTGTTCAAATTATTTTAAAAATACCTGCTACCCTCTCTACGACGTCTGCAGATCGATCAATCAAAAAATAAAAAATAAAAAATAAATAAAAAAAGAAACGAACCAACATTGGAACAATGTCTACCTCAAACCGCCGAATACCAGCTGATACAGACCCCAGCTCAAACAACAACGATGATGACAACGGCGAATCCGCCTCCGAACTGCCCACAAATGCTGAGGACCGCGCAGCAGCAGCAGCCCTCTCCTCTCTTGATACCGCCAACAAAACTTGCGCATCAGAAAACGATGCATGTGTACCCAGCGGTGCAGTACTCCCTTCCGCAGCTGACCAGGAGGCGCTGGGTAAGGCTATGAGTAGATTGGAACTTATTGCGGGGGTAGGAAAAGCTGGAGGTTCGGGTGCAGGTGGGGCCGCTGGATCTGGGAAGAAAGATGATAAGGCAAAGAAAAGCAAGACAGACATTAAAGCGGAAGAGAAGGAGAAGGCGGTGAAGAAGGTGGTGAAGGTTGCGGCAGAGGATGTTGGTCTTTTGGTGAGATTGTTTTCTTTGCGGTTATTTTACATGGAAAAAAAAAAAAAAAAAAACCTAACCTTTGGAGCGTCACGCGGTTGTTAACTGGGCTTGTTGGCTTAGGTGGATCAGCTTGATCTGACGAAGGTAAAAGCCACGGAGCTGCTGAGGTCATACGAGGGCGATCCGATCAGAGCCATTCGTGCGTATATTGCGCCGCCTACACCCCATTGATTAAGAAAAGAGGAAGTTATTCGAGGCGCAAGGATAAAGCTTGGACAAAGGAAGCTTGGCTCTATCAGTCGAAGAAGCATGGAGGCCAACGATGCACAGAGCCGGTGGAATTTGCTCAAATGCCAAAAACACCCGGAGAGAATAATTCTAAAATTGGACTTGGATTTATCTATCTCCTTAAGAGATACGGAAAGTGCCTTCATCCACTCAAGACAAGGTCCATTGGCTCATCGTGGCAACGTTACAATAAGTGAAATAAGGTTTCCCCGCATCTTACAGGCTTTAAGAAATCTTGTTGCTATTCGTGATGTACGTATGCCTTTGGGTTTCGCAAAATGAGGGTTGAACTGATGGGCGAGAGAATTTATTGTTAGCAGCAGGGCTGTTACATGATATAGGCCCCCCCCTTTAATGGATTCTAGATGCAATTTTCTATGCTTCTATATACATCGTTAGAAAACCGCTCTTGACATGTCCATCCGCCAATTATACTAAACTTGTCAATCCAAGCTGGAATGGACAAGTTGCAAATGAAAAAGGAGTTACATCTCCCATCATCATGATCATTGTCATACCATCATCATCGCCGCCGTCGTCACCGTTGTACATGAACACGGTAATGACAAATTACATCCAATAAGTAAGCATAAAAGCACACGTCAACGATTGGGTTGACCCTCAGACGCTCTCTCATGGCTTTGATCGACCCTTTTCACACAGTCATTCCCCTCGAAAATGGTCCATGTAAGGCCCCAGCCCAACAATGCAGCTCCTGCAAGTGCCCACCAAACCGCTCCGACAATATTATACTTAAGACCCAGTCCCAATCCCCAACCACCAATGACTGGGCCTAACGTCCTCGCGGCGCTAACCACGCTCTGCGCAACGCCGTGGACGGTGCCCAACACGCTCGGGTCCGGAACGGAATTATTAACCAAAATAACAGCCGCAGGGAGAGAAAAAGTCCTCGAAATGACCTGGAGAGAAAACACCGCGACCAACGCCGGCCAGACAAGGTACGCACGATTCGGCACAAGCGTTAGGAACGGAATGAGGACGTACGCCAGAGGGGAGAACGGAACGAATACGCGGAGCAAGTTCAGAGTCTCCAAACGAAAGTGGACGCGCGGGTAGACGAAGATTTGTAGCGGTAGACCGACGATACCTATGGTGGCTGTCGCAAAGCCGACTTTGGAGCTGGACATGCCGAGACCCCCTCCAAAATGGAAAAATCCGCGACGACTTCCTTCAGGTGCACGTGGGGTAGGCAAAAAGACAAATGATAGGGCGTTAAAGGCGCTGAGGTGCAGTGCCAGGGCAAAATGAGTTAAGATGGTTAAGACGACATTTTTTGTCCATATTTGGCGAAAGGGCATGCGTTTTCGCCGTGGAATTCGAATTGTATTTGGTGTGGTCGGGATAGATCTTCGAACGCCACACTCCATATCGATGGAGTCTGCTGCGGTCTGGCCATTATAGATTCCGTTGAGCGGTTGATAGCTGTGTGGGGAACGGCCGCATTTGAAGAACCGCCAAATTGCTTTACCCGCTTCTCGTCCCCAGTTGCTGCGATACTTTGCTGTTTCATGGGTCTGTAAGGGAGGGGAGTCAACAGCGGAGACACAAAATGGTAATAGGTAGTATTCATACGAAGCTTACCTCATCTAACCCAAAGAAAACTGCTACGGTAGAAGCGAGGATAATTATTGCGCTTATAAGATTTGGCAACGCGTACGGCCATTCTTTCATCCACCAGACACCGTCTTCGCCTCCCAACAGTGAACCTGGGCCAAATACACCAGGATAGTTTCGCACAGGGTCAGCTAGAATACCGCCCAATATAGGTCCTAGTATAACTCCGATATTGAAACACATTGGCTGGAGTAAGAAGGCTCGAGACTGATATCTGTGGTTCTGTTAGCCAATATTTAGGTATATTTGGGCCGGCCAAATGGCAATATCATTAAATATTCGGACAAATTTCAGTGACATTGATATAGTTATAGGGCACAAGGCTTGATCTCATTGGAGGAAAAGGAAAACATACTTTTTCTCCTCAATAAGTTCTGCAATCATAGTTCGTATAACACCTACATTGCTATTCAACGCGCCCCCCATGGTACGAAAAATAGCAGCCACAACGAACGACTTAGAAAATCCAAACCCCACGCAAGTCAGGGATGTTCCAAAAAGCCCTATCAAGAGCACTCGTTTCCTGCCCATGAAATGAGTATCTGCAATTCGGGCCCATATCATCGCAGTGGCAAATTGTGCAGTAGTGAAGCAGCCCTGCAAAAGACCCGCCCGGGAAGATATAGACGAGTCAGGCAAAGATGGGTCAAAAAACTTAAGTTGGTAAAATATATACGCCTGTAGGGATGTTTGGGTTAACGGCTCAGACAACCGAGCGATGGTCAGGATAGCAAGTTGGGATTTCTTCGGTAGAGATAACCATGATACTGGCTTTTGGTTGTCTGGTGTATCCTTATTTGAGTCCGCAACACCCGCCGCCCTGGACTCACTATCTTCAACAAATGAGAGTCGTCGACGGGGAGGGGCTGGCGGGTGCAATTCATTTGACGCACGTTCCCCTCCTATCCGTCCACCATTGATATCCTGTCCGAAAGAATGCTCGTGAGCGCCGTGTCTGGTTACGCTCGACGCTTCTGAATGGGACAATGAACCGACTTCGCTGGTTCCAGAGGAGTAACTTCCGGAGCCCTCCCCCACAGCTGTTACCGCAGCATCTATCACAGACATTACCTTGGACATGAAGTTCTACATCGCAGTTTTGGTATGCGGATGGAAATTGCCACCGTTGCCCATGATTATCTTGATCACGATCAGTCCATTATGTTGATTTCATGGCGGTCAAAAAAAGAAAATTCTCCCCGAAAATGCGGAGATAATGAAGACACCGAGGTGTGCGGCATCAGACCGAGAAGCCGAATGACTCAGCACTCCCGAAGGTCGTTGTAGTCGCACCGAAGAAAACATTGGAAGCAACAATGTATCTACACCCATATTACGGGATATCGAGCCATGTACATATATCTTTGATATAAGAGCTTTCCAGCTCAGTCGATTCCTGGGATGGATTATGGAATTCTTATATATATGCCTTGAGATGACTCGGGGAAGCTAACCGGGGGATTACATCCGGAGCTCTGCTTCTCTGCCAGCAAGATCACGGAATGATATAAGCTCATGCCTCAGGCTTCCCATGCGTTGGCCAGAGGTCTCTAATCCAGCTTCACACTTGGCAATCAGGTAACATGCCCCAAGGCAGGGTGGCCTCTATGCCTCTACATGATGGATCAGGGGGTGCTTTGGTTTCCGGTACTTCCAGGTGCTTCATCTACACAATTTGGCAACGACGGTCACCAAAAAAAAAAAAAAAAAAAAAAAAAAAAAAATCAAACTCTTGAAGGTGAGGAGGCTATTATTAATGTCGAAAATAGGCATTCTTTCAAATGTTTCGTTTTGTTGACTTTTCCATTTACTCCACTCACATTTGTATATCACCTAGCGTGGAAGTTCATAACTTCAACGTTCGAAGTTGGCCCTCAAGGCTTTGAGCCATATTTCCACAGCAGAGCCGTCTGCAAGAAGCGGATGCATGCGCAGGTACAGAGTGGCAAAGGGATGGATGAGGCTTCAATTTCTAATTGCATCACATCGTAATCTGCATTAAATACCTCCTCTAAATACCCAAAACAGGCTCCATATCCCTCAAAAATATCTCCACTGTCTTGGGTCCTACCCCCCTGAAAGACTGCAGCCGCTTCTCCAACTCCTCTCTAGACCCTGCACCTTCAACCAACTGTCCAAAGGACCCATACCCTTCCTTAATTCCACTAGAGACATCTAGCAACTTCGTCGCTGTGGAGAAGTCATGGCGGACATAGTGGCCCCTATCCAACATCTCAACGAGCTTGTCCCAGCCGGCGTCGAGAACTGCTTCGGGAGAGGTGATATTGTCGTGGATTAGTTCGAAGTAGGCGCGTTTGGCCACTTCTTGTTGTACAGGTTTGCCAAAGAGGAGGCAGGCGAGAAACCATTTGAAATACTCACTGTTGGCTTCATCGGGCTGGGGAAGGGTGAGATTAAGGCCGAGGTCGGAGGCGGTGATCTTCTTTTTGGTAGACATGGTGATTAAAAGAGATGGTGTGAACTGTATGGAAGAGGAATTTTCAGGAACTGTTGTGCAAATAATTCAGACACTAGTTCTCCAGGATCAGGATTTCATTTAGTTGAAAATTCTTCATAACAATTTCCACATCTTCAATTACTGTTTATCCTGTTCGAGACTTTGTAGATGTAGCTAGTTAATATCTATCATTAGTTAGTTAACTACATAGTTATGTCATAATTATGTCATGTCTTTTTTTAAAGTTAAGCTACCATGTGATATTGCAATTTTCGCCTCGTTTAATTGTTAGAATAGATGAATCTTGACAAATATTCGGGTCATTTCCTTACTAGCCCTGGGAGGTTATTTACTGCCATGTATGTCGAATATTTATATCGGGATCTGAAGAAAAGCCGTAAGCTTAGCCGTAATAATCTCCTAGAGCCGTTAAAGTTCCAAATTTGTCACACAATGCTTATGATCAGACATAAAAAGCAATCTGAAGTAGATATCTTAGCTGAGCAGTTTTAGGCAGTTGTAATCTCCTGCAATTCATCAATCATATTCGTCATTCATAAACAATCCCGTATCCCGGAGGGGAAAGAGACAGAAGACAAAGAGCGGAGCGGGTATGCATATATGAATGGACAATACACTACAAAGGCCTCCAAGGCGGTATTATGCTCTCCAACAATACACAGTGTGAACACTCAAACTCACCAGAATCACGCTTTTATCCGTTATCCTGCAGTAAGCCTTCCAATCTATTTCCGTGTTGCTCCAGTGGAAGATTTGCCAACGACTTTCAGAGTTTACTCCTCACTGTCTGGCCACCCTCCCACGACTCACCTGCTTCCAACGTCTGCCATCCCGCAACTGATCCGGCCTCAACGCAAATCATGTTCTTATAACCATCATCAGGTGCGAAATCGGCCATTCCCTTCGCCTTCTCGATCCAAGGGTTCCACACCACGACATCATTCAGAGATTCGCGGGTAATTGAGAAGATGGGGCTGTTGTTGTTGTCTGCGTCGGCAACGATGATGGGCACGGTTGGATCAAGAGATTGATAGATGCGATCCGTTTCTTGGGTGAATGAGAGGGCCGGGGAGGATTCGACATGAACCGATGCGTTGAGCAGTTTGTCAACGTATGTTGCTGACTGCAGGTTTAGAAGGCGAATTTTGGTAATATCCTGTGTGGTTTTGTTAGAACACATATTTAATTTAATTGAACACGTTTGGCCTTCTTGCGCTGCAATTGCATTGGTAGAACAGGAGTAAGTGGCAATAAGAGGATACGTCCGGAAACAGAGAGCAATATATTACTGTAGAACTGGTGGATAAATGAAAACATAAATACCTTGACCCTGAAGTACGAATGTAGCAAAGCCTGGAAATCAAACGGCTGTGCACCTTTATTCTGGACCTGCAGCGACGTGATGAGGCTGCCCTTGCTCAGTGTAACACTGTACAGGAGACCGAAATCGTACGGCCAATCCTTCTTGAACTTATCACTCAACATGCTCATCGACAGGCCGAAATCAAGCTTAACGCTGCTATCGCCATTCTGTCCCTCTGATTCGGAAGTCGATTTCCCAAGAAATTCCCAATGTACATTGCGGGCGAACCCGTGCTGGGGGAGTGCGGAAGTTGCGTGGCCTTTGGGAGGAGGGCCGAAAACCTATAGATTTTGGTACCGAAAGAAGCCAGTAAACCCAAGTCAGCAAATTTACCTTTCTCAACAATTGGATAATCTTAACGGATAGACAGATGATGATGAAGTTATTAAAATCTAGTTTGGAAAAACAATTGAGGGGAGCGCGGGTAATTTGTTTTTTACTAACGGGGAAAACCAATGGAATCCCGCCGCGTATTGGCTTGGACCCATCCAGCGCAGCTTTCTCGCTCAAAAAAAGCTGTTCCTCGCCATTGGCAAGCTTCCAGGACACTACAGTCGCGCCAAACAAATTGACAGTGACGGATTCGCCGGAGGCCAGTGAAGCCTGGACTTGATCTTCTTGCACGGAGATAGTGGGCTGCGGGAGCGGAGAGTGCACAGGAATTGCTGTGGGTTTATTTGCGCGCTCCATTATCAACTAGATGGGGCAGGCGATGTAGTTACAACTATTGTATGAGCAGGGTGTGTGTGTGTATGTGTGTGTGCGACAAAAAAACTGAATGGTGGTGGCTACTAAATAACTAGGACAGTGTGAGAAAAAGAAAACGATACACAAGACAGAAGAAGATAGATTAGGTACGGAGAGAGACATGTAGATGGAAATTGGAGTGTAGGTAGTGGGGCATTGGAGTATTAGGTTTCAGCGTAAGGCATAGCAGATATAGAACTAGGAGGGACAAGACTGCAGCGAATTATTCTAGACCATGGGTAGCGGCCGCAGACATGAAACAATCCTCCTTACACTTAACGAAGGAGACTATGCCAATAAAGACGACATAGCATGGTGTCCAGGAGATGGAGAGGGAAGCCTATGGTAGCCTTAGGAACCCAGAGCATCCCCTGATACACGCAAATTTAGCTCACGGTAATCTTGCCAAACGTATTGATTTCTTTTTGTCTGCATATCTCTACAGGTGAGCGTGTGAGCACGATGACAGGTGATCTATGACTACTTGTCTATTAAGAAAAATTTCCCATCTCAAGCGTCTTGAGAGCAAATCACTATGTGTTGCATTTATCATTACTAAGAGGAGCAACAGCTAGGGTAAAGAGATCAATCATTGTTACATCTGGCATGAACCAAAT